TATTGTTGGTAGAAGTGATCCTAAACCCACCACTAATCGAGCGAGGTCTGCTATTATTCTCCGCAGTCTCCAGCTCAGGATGCAGTGGCTTCAAGTATTTGGGGGTATTTGAGGTTTTTATCCGATATTATCCAAATCCAATCAAGACTCACTTAACCAACTAAACGATAGCCAAAGCCCTCATTGTTAGGGGTTTCATGGAATTCACATTTGATAATTCCTGGCCTTGCCACACAATTACCTTCCTGACTAATATGACTGTGACCCCAAATATCTATCTCCTGCTTAAACATAGGAACCTTGAAGGTAGAGTCCGGAGATGGTACAACAGGCTCATGGGGTACACCACTGTAACAATCACTAGATCTAGGGTTATCCTCACTCTCTTTTGAGTCACCACCATCGTGCGGTTCAGAATTCTGGGTGACTCCATATGTTTTTGATGCTGCCTAGGTCCCCTGGGTAGATGAAGATGATGGAGGGCTGCTGAGAGGCGCAGAAGTCAACTCTTCTGGACCCTCTTTTAGGTCACCAGCTATCAGACTATTCTCATCACAAGGTTCAAAAGACCCATTTATCCACCCCTGCCATGCTATCACCAGATCCTAGAAACTCGTGAAATAGTCCTCCTTTGTGATGTAATGAGGGAACAGCAGATGATTGGAATCGCAGCATGACCAGAGAGATGTTTAGTTCTCACAGAGTAGGCGAGGGACCAGTTAGTGGTGTAGCCGGGGTTGTATAGCCGTTAAGCTTCAGTTTGATAGTCTGTGGCTCAGCTGTACCTCAGTCTATTCTCCTGGTATTGGAATTGATCAATCGAGCGTTTTCTTACTTGGACCACTGCTTCCAATCAGCCTTATTTGGTGCATATTCCTCTGCCAAAAGATTATATGCCTCTTTGAACTGATCAAGCTCATAGCAAATATCATTTTAGATAGAGGCAATCTCCTGATATGCCTTCTTTAGATCATCTAGGAGGGGAGTAGAATCTGTATAAACTTCACTATCTTTGTAAGAGAATAGTGTTTGACTTACTTTGACTACTGGAATGCTCAATTGTGTCTGTGGATTATTTAAACCCTTTAGAGGTAGTGATACTGGGAGTGTTGGTGTTCCAGTCGGGATGTCCTGTACAAGATAATTAATAGCTGGTAGTATATTAGCTTTGTTTTCTAAGGATGTATGATTGGTGATAGTGAGTCTATTTTGATAAGTTAACTTGAATTTAACGAGAGTCCTTACTAAAGGAAACAGGCATACCCTTTACGCTGACACACTCTATCGACCTTTTCAATCCCTTCAAGTCTCTCTGTAAGAGGTTCATTCTAAATTTTTGCTTTGGCTATCTCATAACCCAGATTCTGTAGTTGGCTCTCTTGTTATCAAATTTCCAGTTGCTGTTATTCTCTACTGTCCTGGTGTATATCAATTGAACAAATACAAAGTGTTAGGCAATAACTAAGTCCACACCAAGAGGCGAGTTTGGAGTGCACACTAAAGCCTGCCTCTCCTGCTCAAGTTCCTTCTGCTCCGCAATTGCCCTTTCTAGATCTGCTTTATCACTTGATCCTATATTAAAGACAAATCATTAACACATCCGGCCTCAATTATCAGTAATAGCTGAGACTCACCTTTTGTTAATGAAAGAGATAAGTGCCTCTCAAGATCTGCAAATAGCTGCACCTCTAGGTTATTAGACCCGATGCAGTGTTTGCCGATAATGTACATGGCTGCTGACCAACTGGCTCAAGATAAAACCAGGTGTACTGTTGAAGAATTAAAGCCAATCTTAGGCGGTTTTGCATCTCCTGTTAGGATGTAGGGAGGTGTTGTGGGGTTTGGCAGGCCAGTAGGGTATGCTGGTACTGCTATAGACATTTCACTGGAGTGTTTAGTAAGGGCCTGATGGAGCGCTTGGCCGCCAAGGCTTGGAGAGATTACAGAGGGGCCATGGAAGTATGCTCTATGCAGTAAGTGGCCTGATATAGAGATGGATTTATAGGCAGAAAACAGCGGCAATGGAGAAAGCATCAGTAAGGGGGGTGTAGAAATGGATTGGTAGGTTGCATGTTATAGTTGAAGGGCTGAGGAAGGCGGTAGTATTTGGTCTGGATTTATTGTTCTTGATTGAGAGACTTGAGAATGAGAGTATCTTTAAGAAATCTAGAAAGCTATGTTTTATATGACAGTACACATAGGAAGCCCTGATCCCCCCATCCATAGCTCCTCCGTTGTTTATACTGTGTAAAAGTCTCTCTTTCCTTCCATAACTCTTTCTCTTTCATATGATTTTTTGCACGTTGTAGGACTCTAGACAAGGTAGTTCCTTGGAGAAACGCGATGACATATGCTTCTAGCTCACGAAAAGAGAAGATGATTGAACCTTTACGATCGAGTACTTCGGGCAGATTATTGCTGAAGATATCCTCTAATAGGATATGAAATTCTTGGATTCTGGTAGAAACACTAGTGAAGTCTGAGAGAATGGTAGAATAGCGGGGGTGGAGGAGACGGAAGAACAGTAGAATGGCCAGTGAGGACAGAGTAAATGGTAGAATCACTGGGTGGTACTGAAAGAACGGTAGATTTGCTAGCGGGTTCTGGGAGAACAGTAGAAGTGCTGGCAGGTACCGTAAAAGTATTAGAATCGCCAGCACGTTCTAGCAAAATGGTAAAATTTCTAGCGAGGACCAAAACAATAGAAGGATTAAGGGAGCGCACTTCCACTGAGCGAACAGTAGAATCCCTGATAGGTAGTGGAAGAACTGTGGAATTAACAAATTCCACAATATTTGTATAATCCTTCATAGCGCAGAATAAGTCTACAGTTTCTGAAAGGTCTCCTATCAATAGTTTTATCAACTTGGCACTTTGATTCAGTTGTTCCAACATTTGTGTCAAATTAGTTTGAATGGTTAATTCATTAATACTGTCGATGATAGTCTGTTCTTCAGGGTTGCTGTTTGCATCCGCGGTGTCTTCAGCCGGGTTCCCTCTTAACTGACTCTCAATAAAGGATAAAACAACAAGTATTTTTGTCTGGCCTTCCGTACCAAGCAGCCAAAGACGTGCGTCATCCATCAAATTATCTGAGCTTTCAGAAAATCCATACTGATAAAAGATTGCAGGAAATTGCAGGGTGTTCAGCTTTGCAAAGGTATTTGGCAATGTCGAAGATCCGCCGCTCCACTTGCCCCCGAAACCTTCAAATGCTGAATGGAGTTAGCCAGATTATGCTAAAGGGGAGTTGTTTTAATACAAACTAGTACCTGAACCAACAGAAAATAACTGACTAGTTTTTAATGATCCGATACTTCAATTCAGAAAGTAGTAGAATATTTGCTTGGAAGAATAATGTAGCGAGTAATGAGTTAGTGTTTCCATATAGTTTATGACAAGCTGCTCAGTAAAGGAATTGTATTCATAACAAATACTGTTGTTCACTTCTAGTTCTGGGTTTTCCATATTCCCTTTATCAAATTCCTTAATTGAAACATGTTTGCAGCTTAGGTCTTTATCCGCTGTTTCAAGCAGTTCCAATATCCTCAGCTACCTCAGTTCTTGTAAAGTTATGGCAGATTTCATAGAGAAGTTATTGACCTTGAAGTTAGAAACCACCATAATGTCCGCCAAGCTGCTGCTCTTCAGAAGGATTTAGTCCTTCTATAAAATCCACCAGAGCGT